AATCTCATCTATTCCACAAAATATAATTTGTTTGGGGATGAAACTGTTTCTTAAAACTTTTGCCTACTGGAACCTCATTCTCCACACTACAGTGTGGTTATGGATGAGAAAACCCAAAAGCTGAATAAAACTGGTGAGGCAAATTAGGGCACATCTATGGGAAAGAGCGTGGAGCTGGTTCTGTTGAGCCCTCCTGCTTTTCAATTTGGCTGAACAGAACCCAACTCTAATGAGGAGGGAGCCCTGCTAACGAGGCCAAGCTAACGAGGCCTGTTGCTGTGCAGCACGTGTGGCCACTGCCTCCACTCCCACAGAGCGAGAAATAACCACGCTGGGGTGTTTTCCCCTTGGAAACGTCTATATCCTTTTACATTTAGGTAAGCAGCAGTTTTTACCACCCTTCTATTATTTTGAATTAGAAAGAATAATTACAGTGAATTGTGGGAGGAAAAGAAGCCAGAAACCTTTTTCTTAGCTTGGGTACTTCAGCCATCTTTTAAGTAATAGAGTTGATCTTTTAAATTATTTTTAATTGATCTTTAACTGTATTTATAGCATTTCTAGCAGCAGTCACCTCATTCACCATGCAGTTTCAAAAAACCAAGCTCTGGTTTTGGGCTTCAAAACATTATTGGCAACTGTTGCCAGGTGAGAGGCTTGTGCCTAAACACTGTAGAGTGCAGCACAGTTTGAACCTTTGCATTTTGTTTAAATCTTATTGTTTTTTTAGCTTTAGCCTTCCAGGTTATTGATCTGGACTGGTGGTCTGTTTGAAAGTGATTTGTCAGGAGTAAGTGGGAGGCTGAAAGGGAGAGAAGTTCTTTAAATGATAGAACAAGTTGAACAAGTTTTGATCAAGTCTCAGAAGACCATCTTGCAAACCTTCAGCCTACATTGCAGTGCAGAGCTTTCTTAATGGGAACTCAGCAGCCAGATCTCCTAGGAGGCTCTCACAACCTCTGTGGTGAGATTGACTCAGGTCAGTTGATTTAGTACTTGTTTGAGCATTAAAAATATATATATATATATGCTATAAAATTTTAAAGCGAGGCTTTGATTTATATGTAGGTATCGGTGTATGTTATGTGTTGTGAATGTTTGTCCTGAAAATGAAGCTGTATCTCCCTTTCTGTCCCAGTGTAGCTTTGCTTGTTGGAGCCTTCAGGATCTTTAGACAAATGCCAACACAATTGGCTGCAGCTTGTGGCATATGTTATGGAATACAAATAACAGCTTGGGTGCTTTTTATATCAAACCTAATGGGCTAAGATGGTATTTTATTAGAGATCTTGCAAACAATGTTACTCATTTGACAACGTCTCCAAGCTGGAAATAAGGTCAGTGGGAGGCCCACTGGCTGCTACTGTCTACTAAAGAATGAAGTGTGGTTTCCCCTGCCAAGTAGGATGAAATTTGTACATGAGTGCAGGTTCATGATGTTGGTACATCCTGCTGGAGATAGTGGTGGAAAGGGGAATATTGAAAAGCGAGGCTTTTCGGGTCTTGCAACAACCACCAGCCTGCAGGTTCTCTCCGTGCTGTGCTCTGTCTACAGAATTGAGATCTGCTGTGTTCGTAGACAAACATCCATTTCTAAAGACAAGTAAATGTGGCTAGTTGTACATGTAATTTCTCTGCTTTTTCAAATATTGCTTTTATTAACAGTTCAAAACCCGGCTTTTAATTGTGTTTTGCTTCATAGAAGAGTAAGAGAAAAGGTCACGAATACACAAACATTAAATATTCTTTATCGGACCAGACGAGTGGGGATCAGAGCCCTCTTCCACCCTGCACCCCAACCCCAACGTGTCCAGAGTAAGTTAGTTTTTGTTGTAAGTTTGAAATGTATTAATTAATCTTTAGCGACCTCGGGTTCCCTGTTTTTTACATTCAAGCTAAATTTGAGCAAGATAAATTGTCGCCGAGTTATTTTGTGTGCAAATCCTTCTTTTTTTCTCAGACTGCACTGTTTCCTATGCAAATAATTATCTCATTTCAGAATGAGAGAAGATAGTGCTAGAGTATATGAAAATGTGGGGCTGATGCAACAGCAGAAAAGTTTCAGATGAGAAGCTGTCCAGGCACTTCCAAGAAGAGACAGGTACGTGTGTTCAGGAGGGACTGTGCGTGCCCAGCCTAGAGCTGGAAAGGGGCTTGAGTGGGCAGCAATCAGCCCAAACATAACGTTGTCAATCTGAATCCACTTAGGAGCTGCTTTGGTAACTGCAAGTATTGTGCTTCATACATACTTAGTACAGTAATTTTCTTCCAAGTTTATATCCTAAGTCTCATCTTCTACTGCCAAAATAACATACAGTTTGTAACCACTGATCAAAGACTTTAGTTTTGAGTTTATAGCCTTCTCCAAGTCAAAATTGAGCCTTTTTCTATAATGTAGGAAAGATAAATGGTTGCTGATTTTCTCTGAACTTTTATTTTCTCTTCCTCTCCTAGAAATGAATATGGCTTTTAAAAAGGTCAAGAAAGAGATGGAAGAAGCTTCGTGTGAATGGTGAACTTTGAAGGCTTGGTACCTTTTTATTTATGGTTTTATCCTTCAACAGTAGACACAACTTAAAACCATCTAAAGATTGTTTAAATCCTTTCTCTCCGATACCTGATTTACAATTGCTCATCTTCCAAATAAAAGGAAATCCTCTCTACAACGTAGACAGCTACTTTGTAGAATCAGTTTTGAATCCAGCGAGCTGTTGGACTGTCATCCATCTGTTTTTTAAATAGTATTTTTGTTTCACAATATGGCTATTAGTAATTTCTTACTTGAGCAGTTGTGGGATTTTGGGGGCTGGGGGTGGGAGAGCCAGGAAATGGGTAAATCCGTTACATTTGTGTAAAATACTGATGGGAACAATACTTGATTGTTTGAAAACAGTGGATCACCTGTGTGAATAGAATCAGCTACATGGTAAAATTAGTCCTAATACATTTCAGACTGAGTTTCATAGGGGTGAGCAGTTGCAGATATGAAGGTGCTTTTTGTGATAACTGATAACTTTTTTTTTTTGATCACAACTTAGCTGAGTGGTTGGACAGGCTATTTTTGAGTAGCTACATGAGGTAGCCTTTGCATCAAACGAAACTTTTTCATGTGACCTCTACCCAAAATAGGAATTTGCTGTATCTCTCAAAGGGCACAGTGGCCCAGCAGTTTAAGGGCACTGTCTGCGTTAATTTGTCTGTGTTCATCTATTAAGCAAGAGATTGGACTAGTAGTTAAGGTATCCTGTAAAGCTGTGCGATGGCACCTTGACAGAATATTCAAAAAGGAGGGAAACAACCCACTGTGCAGTCTGTTACCTTAATTTAAGGTAACCCTCTTCCCCCTTCTGTAGAGGAGGTGGAAGTTACTTCAGTTTCTTGGTAAGACTTTAAGTGGCTAAACCAGAGTTTTGGGGGAAAGCAGCGTATGGAAGCCAGCTATCGGCTAAAACTGCAGAGCTGCAAGGGAAGAGCACGGGCAGCAAAGCCAGCAGGGGCCTGTTGTGGTCCCTGTGTCAGGCAGGAGTTTACAACCGTTCTACCTGAAGTGCCTTTCAGAGCCACATTGAATTTGCTGTCCCCGTTAGGTTAAAAATCCCGTACATCTGAAACCACTTTTGACTGTGCATGAAACAGATTCCTCTTCTAGAGGCGCCAGGAGTGTGGGTGCTGGCAGGCAGCCGGTTAGCTGCTTTATTTGCTTTATTTGCTTTGTCCTGTTGTCTGGACCAGAAGCTTCCTTGGAGGTATTAGCAGCTGCACGTGTGGATCCGAGGCAGAGTTGGTCCCTAGGAGTAGGTACCAACGGTGTCTTGCCAACGTCTCCCCCCGCGTTTGGGGGGAAAGGTCTGTGATTTGGGTAGTGCTAAGGAATCATTGCCGTTTTCATACAGTGTGTGCAGATGGTGAATACTGCATTAAATCGCTGTATGCAAGGGTGCAGGGCCAATGAAACTGCATTATTGGCCTTATTGAAATTATGCTAAAGCCTGGAATGTAATTAATGCAGCTTTGTGAAAGGTTAATTGGGAGATTACATTACCTTTTCCTGAGAGTGCTTTGCAAAATCAAATATTTGAACACTTTGTTTGAACTGAATGAAGGTGCTTCTTTGATGTTAAGCGGAATTTTTGTTACTTTGCTTCGTGTCCTCTTTGTCTTTTGAGGTTTGGGTTTTTCTTCTTGAATTTTTGTTTTTTTGGAAGTGCTGTCACCAGCGTACCATAATGTGTTTTAGTGTCATAGCCGCTAGCCTAATCGTAAATATTTGTGCCCTTTCTAGATCTAAAATTTCTGTCACCGTGAGAGAAAAATCTGGCCGTTTGGTAGCGAAATACCTGTTCTGCATTGCCAACCTCCCCTCCCTATTTACAGCTTTATCCTGCTCAAAGGGCTCACTTAAGGGTTCCTATTGGTACAGAACCATTTGACAACGGTCTAAATAATAGTTTAAAGCGCGGCAGATTTGCACAAATTCTCCACTTCATACGTTATGGCAAGGGGGAACGCGTGTCCAGTCTGGAACCAATCTGCGCCAAAATGGAAAGTCGGGAAAACAAGGGAAGGATCCTGAACGAATCCGAGCTCCATCGTGAACTCCGTTAATGTGATATGTCTTAAGATTGATCTGTGCAAGCAGCAATCAGTTACACAGCCAACAAAGTTGCTTTTCATGACCTCATTTTTAGCTGTTTCGAACTTGCCTCTGTAGGAATTTGTCCTGGAACCAGGGAACTCGTACTCCAGGGTATGGATTAATCTTGGGGAGCACCTGGTGGCAGAATGGCAATGGCAAAGGGGGAAGGAGCTGACAGGCTGTGAATAACTAACTCTGTTTCTTTTTAACTGGAGTGTTAGGCCCTGCTGGAGACCAAAGGGAGCTTCTGCAAGGTGAGGTCGGCCAGCCTTTAATGCATAGGCGAGAGGGGTGATTTTTAGAGCTTTTAAAATTATTTTAAACAATTGCTGGATTTTGTGACAGGTGAAGCATGAGAGATAAATGCCTTTTGGTTCAGGGGAGATAATGAATATGTGGGTATCATGTATTTCTAGTGAGCTTTTAGAGAATAAATTAAGCATTGATCTGCAAGCCGTTGCTGGAACAGTGGAAAAGGGATGCAGTTCTGAAGTGTTCTGCTGCAGAAGACTCTATAAACCACAAGGGAAACGTTAACACAACTCCTAAGGCACAATGAGTTATGCCAGCATGAATTTGCTGCAGACTTCATTTACTGAATGTTTTATAGTGTACACTTTAATTTCAGCTAACTTGTTAGGACTGATCGGTTCGCCTATTAATCCTGACCAAACTTTACTTTTTCCTCTTAAGGTATGTGTTGGAAACATGATTAACTTCATTAGCTGCATCCTAGTTGTAAAACCCATTTCCTTTTTCGTCATAGGGATGGGGGAAGTCAGCTGGTACTAGGATGTATTGTCAGGTTTTTTTTCCACCCATAACTTCATTACTTCAAATTAATTTTTAATTTCTCCCTTTTAAATAGTGAAACATGTAATTAATTATTTCAAGCCTGTTTATTTATGACATTATTGTGATTTTTTTTTATTGCAGTACTAAAGACTAATGAAAAAGGATCCTCTTATTAGGTGGAGTAGACCTTGCATTTATTTTTTTTCTGCAATGTATGAAGTATTGTACCAGAGTATTAAATGAAATGTAATATTTTATTGAAAAATCTCTATCCTTTAAAAGGAATACTTTTAGGATGTCATCAATTTGATGTGAATCATGTAAATGTTGATAATGCGCTGTTTATGATACATCTAGTGTTTCAAAAGACTCACTTATTGCCTTTTGCCCACATACATTCTGTAGACCATTTACAATTGTCAAAATGTGACATTAAAATAATAGTTCCTGTATAGAAATATTGGTGGTTGTCCGTTGTTTTCTGTGCTGGTATTTATGGGTCTTAGCTCAGCTGCTCTGCTAGCTGCATTGTGGTTTTTATTGCTGCAAAGCTATACTATCAGAAATAAAAGCATAACTGTAAACATGGAAACTTAAAAAGGAAATAAAAATCATTTTCTTAAGATGGTTTCTCAGTTACTGTTTCTTAGCTTCCAGCCAGGAATAAATGGTGGTGTTTTTGGGCACTGACCTCCAAGCTCAGATCAGTGCTGGTGTGGAATGTCCCTGGTCTGGACAATTCTCTCTCTTCCCTAAATCTCGTGTTTTTAAAGGGGAGAGGCCGCACTCATGCCCCTCAGTCCAAGTCTAGCCCAGCAGTCTAACCTGAAGCCTGATTATTGCTTTTTCTTCCTTAAAGCCCCTGCGCTCCTGCTCTCGAGGCTCGGCACCGCTGCCGCTGATCCCGGGAAGCGGAAAGCCCGGGCGGGCACTTAGCATCACTAAACTACGGTGAGTTTTTAATTTAATGGAAGGTTCAGCAAAATATCCACTCTCCCCGTGCTCCTGCGCATGGAAGCTGCGTGGCAGAAAGGCAGGTGCTCCAACCTGCACCTTTTAGGAAATAAAAACAGTTGTACGGCCGACACAGCAGCGCTGGCTGAACACAGGGCAAACGCCACCCGCGTTTGTGGTAGAACAAGCTTGGTCTGGGGTGAGAGCACAGGGATCACGTCCTGAAATGCCAGCAGGACAGCGAGGCCCCGGGGCTGCAGGGAAGCTGGATTCCAGCAGGGATGGGAGCTGTGTAGAAGAGGTTGGCTTTAAGGTGCTAGTCCTGCACAGCAAGACTTGCACGAGTGGGTCTGGCAGTTTGCATCCATTTAAAAAAAAGACAATTGATGCAAAACCCAATTTTGAGGGGAAGTTTAGTCAAATCTGAGAAATTCACCAAAAACTGGAACTCAGAACCACCCCCGTTTCCCCCAGGTTGCCGTGTTGGGCCTTTCCCATCCGCGCTGCAGCGCACGGAGAGTGGTCGCCGTTGCGCCCGGCCTGCGCTCGTCCCTCCGGATGCTCCTGCTCGGAGGCGGCTCCGGCGCTCCGGACCCCCTGGGCACCGATGCAGGCGGAGGCGGCTGCTGTTGCTGGAGGACAGGTCCGTGTCTCCATGAGCCTTGGGCACGGTGGGTGACATTGAACACGGATGCGGTTCGGGATGAGGAGGCGGCTCCTGGAGCCGCTCAGGGGATGGAGGGAGCAGAAGGGGCTGCTAAGCCTGGCTGGGAAGGGAAACCCAAACCCAAAAGGCTTTTGCTAGTGCAAAAGCAAATGTTTCCCTGTGCATCTTCTGGCTCTTTTTGAGCCCAATACCTGGTGCTTGTGCTTTATGTTCCTGAAGTCCTCCTCTGCTTGAAGTCGGTGTGTGAAAATCAGATGCATGCGTCTCTATTTTTCCTTTTTAAGGGGTAGGAAAGATGTTACCTGCAAAGAGTTCCTAATGCGCTGGTTGCTCCCTGTTTTCCCTATGGAGGAAGACTCGGAATAACAATGCACAGATCAAAACACTTGACTTGAAAAGAACCCACGAGTGGCTCAAAG